AACAGAGACAAACACACACACACAGAGAACACTCTTCTTTCTACATTTATACAGTGCCTGTCTACATCTAGGACATGACCTAATAGCAGAGTTACATTCCAGTGACCAGAGAGGAAGGGAAGAAAGGCATGCAGATTTCAGACACAGAACCTGCACTCTCCTGACCTTGGAATGGTGCCACCCTAGACTGAACTGAAACCAGACCTTTGTTCTTGCCAAGTTGGGTGATCTGATACTGAACATGGGCCATTTTTCCAACCCAGAATTCTTGGTGGGAGCCATGAGGTATGTTCCATGCAGTAGCTGACAATTTACACTTTGGGAAGGTATATCACCTTCCCTTATTAATATACAGAGGAAATAGAAAGAGAGATTGGGGCGTTGTCAAAGGTCATGCAGTGAATTAGAACTACTTTGTGCAATAGAAAAGCTGCTTTACAAACATGAAATGTGCCAGATATGATGGCACACATCTGTAATACCAGCACTAGGAGCCTGTGAGAATAGCTTTATGAGTTCAAGATGAGCCTGGGATACATAGGGAGAACTTGTCTAAGACAGATAAACAAACCAATTTAAAATGTGGTATGGAGAATCAAATTCAAACTTGGAAGTTTTATATATTCTTGAAATAGCAGAGATACACAAATCATTTTCTATATAATTCAAAAATCTTGGAATTATGATACAAATTAATTTTTTATCACTTCAAAAGTACACACCAGAGTTTTACACACAGTATGAACACCACCACCAGCAACAACAACAACAAAATCATAAGATCACATGGCCTAAGTCTGTAATCTTAGTCACTCAAGAGAAAAGATCATAAGTTCACAGTCAGCCTGGGTGGCAGAGCAAAACCCCAAATATCTTTGACACATTGGCACACACTTGCATTCTAAGTGCTGGGATGTGGAAGCAGGAAAATCAGGAATTCAAGTTCGGCCTGTACTACATAGTGATATTATGTTTCCTAAAAACAAAGAAAGTCAAAACAAAAAAAAAATGGGTGCTGGGGATTTGGCAGAGTTGGGGAATGCTGACTTGCCCAGTGTAAATGAAGCCCTGAGTTCAACGCCCAGCAGCATATAATATAATCATTGAGATTCATGGCTATGTGCTCAGCACCAATAAAGGAGCCATTGCATCCTTGGCTACACTGTGATACAGGGTAGGTTGGGTTTCATGAGACCTTCACACCAAGAGAGAAAGAACAAAGGACATCTTTTGAAGCTTTAGGTTGCTTTGAATCCACTTGTCTATCAGGATGACAATACACCTTGAGTACTGGACCACAACGACACTGACATATGTGAGGGTAGATAATGTTGATGGTTCTGGGCCTTGGATAGCTGATATTTCTTGTGTTGAGATACTTTGGAAAGGTCTATAACTAGAATATGATCCTGATTTAGTCAAGAATAAACTTTAGGGTCCTGAGACTGTATATATTCATTCATTATCACACTCACTTCATGCAGTGATGAAGGTAAAATTCAAGTCTTCATGGATGCAAGGAATATAGTCTATCAACCGAGCCCATCTCCAGGCAGTCTTGCCTTTGACTGTCTATGTAGTTCATTAGATGTCAGTGTTATCCAAATGGCTGGTTCTATTTCAGTTTCTTGACCCTCTTTCTCTTCCCTGCAAACGACTCAACACATCCTTCTAGGTTCCTCATCTCTCATCACTTCTTTTCTCAAAATGTCAAGATGAGATACAATTTATGCCATAGAGAATGAGGGTTCTCTTCTAAGACACAGATATGCATTTAACTTGACCCCAGTGTGTATACATTATATATCCAGATTTATACTAGTTTGTAGTTTACAATTGAATGGTGACCAACAAAGTTAGTAAAAAAAAAGTGGTGAACTATGGGAAAGGCTTTAATTAAATTTAGAGTTTAGGGTATTGGGATGAAATGAATGCTTTTTATCTGAGAGTATAGGGTGGGTTATATTGGAAGGAGCAGAAACAGAGTACTAATGGTTGAATATTCTTTCTAAAATTCAAATTGAAATTTAAATGCCATTATAACTACATCAAGAAGTGATATGTGAACTAGGAGAGGGTTCAATAGTTAAGAGCACTTGCTGTTCTTGAAGAAGACCCAGGTTAAGTTCCTAGCATCAACATGATGGCTACAGCCATCTACAACTCTAATTTGAGAACATACAGTACCCTCTTCTAACCTCTTGGGCACAAGACATACATGTGTTGAACATAAATATGTTCAGATGAAACACTTATATACATAAAATGAAAATTAAAAAAGGATCTGGGTAGTAGTGGTACACGCCTTTAATCCCAGCACTCAGGAGGCAGAGGCAGGTGGATCTCTGAGTTTGAGGCCAGACTGGTCTACAGAGCAAGTTCCAGGACAAGCTCCAAAGTTACAGAGAAACCCTGTCTTGAAAAACAAACAAAACAAAACAAAACAAAAGAATAAAATGACAATGTGAAGCTCTACAGCTTTGTAATGCCCATTCTAAGTGAGTAGATGTTCACTGCGGTGTATAGACTGTGGACCTGGTCAATTTCTCTGTGTTATGTTTTATAATATAGTTAAGTTAAGACAACAACAAAGGAAGAAATGAGATGTTTTAAATGTGATTCAGGCGTTGCCTTTATGTTATATTTTGGTTGTGGAATGTTCCTTTCCAGCTTACTTATTTGATCAGTTGGTCTTTAGTTGGTGGCGATTTTTTTAAGAGTTGTACAATATTTAAAGATCGGCGTGGCTGGTGATAACAAGTTACTTAGATTAGGCTAACAT